CAATGTTCATGAAAACAAATTCTGTGCATACAATTGTTTCAAATAAAACCAAATTAAAACACCAATTACTGATTATTCATCCGTGTATAGTCCAATATGCTTCTTGCAAATATAGCGATCAATAAACGAGGGAAATGTAAGAATAATAAATGTGAAAATGTAATTATTAACATTACAAATAACAAGTAAATGACGAATAAAATAGTCCTTTAGGAATCCACTGCTGGATGAAGGCCTCCTCATGCCTCTTTAGTCATGGGACTTCATCAGTGTTGTGAAATATGGTCAATAATTTGCATTTGACTGATATGCAGATGTATGTATATTGCATATTTCACATCGTACGTAGCCAACCATGCTAGGAGGTGCAGGCTTAATCGAGGACCCAAAACTAATAGGGACAATAAAGAGCATTGTCATTACAATATAGGCATCAAGCCATAGATTCCACTTGGTTATTTAATATCACTTAGAACATTGACACCTTCTGATTTTTGCACAAACTAGAGGTGGGACGATTTGGTCCATTATATCAATGACTCTACAAAACATTGAAGTCGACTCATTTTTCGAGGTCACCTTATTTGAGCCCATTTAAAAATGACGGCCACACCCCACCTTCTGGCTCCCGAAGGCAGGTAACCCCATACAAGCCATGCCTAGCGTGATGTGACTGATGATGTTGATGATATCACCAAGCCCTGCCCATCACCTCCCATCTAGTGGCAAATGTGGGAACAGAGATGTAAAAATAATCAGCTTTTCATCTTTGCTGCACAACCTTATCCGCACAATTAAAACGAGAATTTGTAGAGTAACTGGTTACTTTAATAAACACATATCTCAGCTGTAATAAAAACAACAAAGGAGAATATGAATCTGTTTAAAGAGTAATTATGACCTGGATAATATCTGATGTGTATTCTAAGATTACAGTTAATGAAATTTGTCACAATGCAGTATATACAAATGTATGCACTGTAATGATTCACCAGTGGAAAGCATACATTATAATATGAGCAGAGCACAATTTTAACACTGGTGGATACAGAATAACAATACAAAATAAACTGCTTTTTTCATTTCCAACTTTGTATGCTACAATGGCAGGCTTAAATTCTCACAGCTTATTAATTCAATGAAATAACCTGAAAACTAGTTTGAAATGTAATACCCCTTTCTATGCGATTGATATTTGTTATTTTGGCTTTGGTAATGTCAGGTCTCGTAACATTGCAACACTTATTCGTTAGAGGCTGAAACTCATGTTTAAAGTTACTCCACATAAGGGCATTATTTTGACACAAGCTAAAAAAGCATCAGTGCTTCATTTTCCTCCATGGTTTAGATGATCTTGTATCAAAAGAATCCATTGGCTCGTCCATTGGTTAAGGTATGTCATTGTCAAAAGAAACAAAACTCGAGTACAATCTAAAATTTAATTCCTAGGTTTAACTTTATGCACAGTTGATAGTTTGTGAAATATTATTTTAGTAAAAAACACTCATGTGCATTTGTTCCAATAGTGGTTTTATTTTCACATTTTACATACCAGTAGAGGAACACATTCCTGCGGAGAGAGCTGGTAGGAACGTTGGGTTCCTCGTTCAATGGCCAGGGTCAACGGCGGCGTGGGGTATTCCGCAAATATGCCCGACTGTGAGGGCGGGCACAAGCCGGCGTGAGTAGGTTAAACATTGAGTTTTATAAGGCACCACGGGGTGACCAGCCCCTCCCCACCCAGCCACACCCCTCCCACCCACCAACCAGCTCCACCCTCCCCACCCAGCCCCTCCCCACCTTCCCCACCCAGTCCCTCCCCACCTTCCCCTCTCCACCCAGCCCCACCCCTCCCATTTTTGGATGCACGACGGACGGACGGACGGACACAATAATCCCCTATGGGCTGGTGTAACCAGGAAGTTCCTATCAGTACAATATTCATGTTTAGCTGTATGGTCCGCACGCGAATTGATCTGGCTAACGCAGACATGATTCCTTGCAAAAGGTTTCTATTTGGTGGTTGTACCTCTTAAAACCTGTTTTATTTACTAGAAAACGTAAAACCGATTATTTTTTTTCATACCTTGATACTGGCAAAAAAGGATCCCATTTTGATCTGCACAATTTAATTTTCAGGAAAGAGGCTTTCATGGGTGAATTGCATTGAGCATAGCCGATCTTCCTTGGAGTTAATTGAGTACATTGTTATGCAACCACTCTTCCAAAGTACCCACCTTGTGTGGCCCACTTTAAAGAACTGTAATATAGATCACTCGCCTGCGAAAAATTGAGTGCACATCTGGTCCTGAGATTACTGTACAGGATTGGCTATGTTTATTTTAGATTATGTTTTGAAATGTTTAACAATAATAAAAGCAAGATCAGAAGAGCTTACAATATTAACCGTCAAAAAGTAGGTTTTTGAGCGTGCAGTACATTTTTTATGAGAAATTAAGCAATATCTGGGACATTTTACTCAAAATTGTGGTTTATGCAGAAAGAAAACATGACATCCAGAACCATTCAGAATACTTATTTGGTGGGGTGGCATAACTGGCAAAACATAGACCCATGTCCAAGCAGTCATTTTTGTTGACTGTACATGGTGGTCCAGATGTTTTGTGACCCCCCCCCCCTCCAAAAATTAATTGACCCCCGACATTTTTTCTTCCCTTTTGCGTATTCATTTTTGCTTTCACACCCCCATTGGTATTCAAAATGATTACGTTTTAGAGAATTAAGTTGGGGTGACAAGATATCTGGACCACCCTATCGATAATCGTGGGATTTAAGTTGGAATAAAGAGCAACATGCGTTGTTTTACAGTAATTCATCATTGTCACATCCTACATTGTCACCAGCTGAAAAGAAAAGAAAACAAAAATTTGGGCCAAACTCATGCAGGACAACTCTTAATGCTGTTAAAATATTTACACCTAGTTCCAAGTATTTCACACTGGAAATTGTTTTCTTATTTTGCAATGAAACAATTACTTTTAAATATGAACCGTTGCCACTTATGTGTGTTGTTGTAAAAAAAACCTTCGTATGCAAGTACGCACTGTATTGTCCCCCCCCCCCCCACACTTTTAAAGCACTACACGGCTGGTGGAATGGTGCAGGAGTTCAGTGGGTTCCAGCTCACTGCGCGATGAACCTGGCATTTTAGAGTCCCATTCCCGGTGAAGACGCACGTAAGTGGTGAGTGACATCCGAGACAGGCCTGCGCACCCTTCACATCCTCACAATCCGTATTCGCCAGCGTGGTGAAGGTTGGTCAAACAACGCCCCCATGACCCATTTCCATTGTGGGGAGGCTTTCACCTAGCAATTGATTGACTAAGGGGTCAAAAGTAATTAATTAATTAATGGTAGGATCTTTTCAGGAGGTATATAAGATAGGGTGGGTTACATTCTCATGCAGAATAGTTAGTCTATATCTCAACATGGTCATTAACTGTATCTGTGCATGTGGTTTTGTGATATTTGGAAGAGCATATGAAATACAAATTCATTAGGGTTGTGTAAAAGTGCTGTATATTTTAGCTATCAATGAATGCTATTGAATACCAATTCCCAAATACAGTACGATGTGTTTTACGCTTGTCAAATGGATATGCAATAATATGGCATAGCCGTTTTAACACCATATCGATAGCCGCATTTGTTAATCTTGCATAGTTATATTTACTGCTTTGAAGTGGAAGATGAAACTGCTGACATCATGTGCACAACCCACACAGTGTAATTTGTATATATGTTTTACATTTTAAACCTTATTGTTGCAACACGTTGATGATAGGGCCTTCCACAGCATTTGTTAATTCCAAGTGGTGTTACCAATTGGGCATCCAAAAAAAGCCGCATCAAAACAGCCGAGCCAGCTCCACTTGCAAATCAAGAACACCGTTGCAATTAATATTGCATGGATGTGCAGGGATATAAAAAAATGCTTTAAAGCAGAGCAGCTATCAAATGCAGACACAAAACCTGTCTTTACCTTTGCCGTAATGGGCCATAATTATTCCCCCAGTGTACGTGTAATGTTGTCATTCTGGCCTCGTTTCCATATCAAGAACATCCCCACGTGGTGCTTTCTTAACCACCACGCCCATCACCCCCACCCCCGCCACACTCAAATCAACTGATACCTATCCCCCATCCATCCATCTACCCATCCATCCATCCATATGTCTTCCCATCCATCCCGCAAGACACGAAAACAAATCTGCAGGCAATGATGCGGCTCGCTAGCAGACCGCTTCCAACCATCCAACCATCAAGGGCAAGCATCTCTCACACACAACCAGGCAAATATTTGTTAGAATAGCATCAGGGGAAAAAAAGACCCGAGCCTTTATCATGCAGTATGTTTTACACCAATGCAAAATAAGAATGCAATCGACTATTAGATTATTAGCAAAGCAAATTGGAGCTAAAAGTCACCGAGCCACAGACAAGACAGATACAGAAAGCTATAGGCACCCCCCCCCCCCGGGACTTTGTGGGTGGGAAAGAAGGCACGCAAGCTGTCAGGCAGGCAGACAGGCAGTCAGGCGGGTAGGCAGGCAGTCAGGCAGTCAGGCGGGTAGGCAGGCAGGCAGGCAGACAGACAGACAGTCAGGCAGGCAGGCAGCCAGGCAGGCAGGCAGACATGCAGCCAGGCAGTCAGGCAGGCAGACAGGCAGGCAGGTAGGCAGACAGGCAGGCAGGCAGACATGCAGGCAGGCAGTCAGTCAGGCAGGCAGCCAGGCAGGCAGTCAGACAGGCAGGTAGTCAGACAGTCAGACAGTTAGGCATTCAGGCAGGCAGGCAGTCAGTCAGTTAGGCATTCAGGCAGGCAGGCAGTCAGGCAGTCAGGCAGGCAGGCAGGCAGGCAGTCAGTCAGTTAGGCATTCAGGCAGGCAGGCAGGCAGTCAGGCAGTCAGGCGGGTAGGCAGGCTTGTCGCGGAGGCGTAGGCGACGCAATTAAAGCGCACAGCTGGCGTCAAAAAAAAAAAGGGCACGCGGCTTCGCTCGCCGCGGACACGCGCACAGCGGCGCGAGGCGTGCGCGCGACGGCTTCGCTCCCCCCCTGAGCAGGAGTGTGGGCGCTTGCGACGCGTTCGTCCAACGCCTATTGTTCCCTTTTCTTTTGTTTGCGCTCTCATTGTTATTGAAGGTGACCATCGAACAACAATATGACTGCGGATGCCTGCGACGTTGGGCGAGCGCCGGTATTTCTCGCCGACGCACACGTACACGAGCGGCTGGGAGTGGCTTATGCGCTTATTATTTATTTCCTTATTTTTAACAGGAGATGTGGAGTGGCCACATCAAAGACGGGGCTGGTTTATTCATACTTCAGAGCCAGCCAACATCATGTGTCTCGACGTTGATGATAGAAACTGAAGTAACAATGATGTGTACATTGTTGTGAGATTGTCTGCGAGCTGCACATTGTTCATCACTTTCGTGGACGGACCCTCACGGCTGTCAGAGGAGGTAAGAATTCTTCAAATGTCATTTTACAAAACTCTCGTTACCAAACCTCTGCATTCTTCCTGCAATGTGACAAATATATATTGAAATGCATTTTTATAAAAAATAACCTACCGCATTGAAAGACAGAAAATGAAGTGTGTAACTTTTACAATTACAGCGTGCGCTGAAGTGGTTTGCAATGCTGTTATGTCAGTCTCTGTTTCATTTATGATAATGTGGCATATATTTATTGGTACATGCAACACCCATGAATACTAAAGACGTAGCTCTTCTGATGTGCAGATTTTAAAATGTGGCCATGCTATGTTAATGCTATAGTAAATGTGAAAATTGTATTACACCAAAGGCATGCAAGATCATTAGTAGAAAAAAAACCGTGTGGCCATTGACTTGCTTTGCTGTCACGGTGTAACGATTAGCTTACTTGCCACTTGCAAGATTTATGTTACGTAACAACATCTATCCTTTTTTTCAGATCAACGTGGCTCGCGTTTGTTCCAGTGCGTTGCTTTAAATCAATAAGTACCTTTATGGGTAGCGTGTTCTGGCAAGCTCTTCATAAATGTTTAATCGGTAAAATCAAATACCGACGTGGATTTTGTCATCCGTGCAATGCATTTGGCTCTGCAAACACTGATGGTGGTTATGATAGATCTAGCCGGCTGGCAAAGCAATTATGTGTACAGCATGCATTGTAAACAATGCGTTTTACAGTTTTACAATTCACTAAACTGGGATGGCGATTCATCGTCTGGTAAAGCAATACGATATTATGGATTTTGTTAATTTCATTCAATACTAGAACATTATCACACGGGAACAGAAATAAACACACTCCCAATGCATGACATTTCTTCAATAGATGGCAATGACCCAAAAAATGATGTGCCCGATGGTTTATATAAAAAAATAATTAATGAATGGATGCATCATGTCGATTGCTGTTGTCAGGAGTGCAATTCGGGCAGAACACGATGGACGAGTGCTCTGAGCTGAGGATGGAGAACAATTCCCTGTGGAAGGCCGTGTACATGGGCCGCCTACGCCTGAGCAGGCTGCTGTTGGAGGGCGGCGCGTACATCAACGAGAGCAACGAGAAGGGCGAAACTCCGCTCATGATGGCCTGCAGGTCGAAACAGATGGATTCTCAGAGTGCCAGCAAGCTCAAAATGGTCAAGTACCTCCTGGAAAACAAGGCGGATCCCAACATTCAGGACGTGTCCGGCAAAACGGCTCTGATGCACGCTTGCATTACGAGGGCAGGATCGGACGTGGTCCTGCAGCTGCTGCAGAACAGCGCCGACCCAAGCCTCGAGGATCATTCCGGTGCCTCTGCCCTCGTCTACGCCATCGATGCCGACGACAAGGAGACTCTGAAAGTCCTGCTGGACGCATGCAAGGCAAAAGGCAAGGATGTGATCATCATTACCACCGATAAATCCGCGTCGGGCTGCAAGACGACGAAGCAGTACCTGAACGCCCCTCCTTCGCCCAACATCAGCGATCGGCAATCCGAGGTCACCTCGCCGACAAACATCGAGCTCAAAACCGTTTCAGCACCTTGCGCCACGGGTGGCAACGAGACTGAAAATATTTTCGCTTTCAAATCAAATGAGTTGGCACCTCTCGCGCCGAATGACATCAGTAGGAGAGGAGGCGTCAAGCGCAGCGGTGCCAAGCTGCCTCAGCTGCAGAGACTCAAGTCAGAGCCATGGGGTTTGGTTGCACCGTCGTGTTCTGGCCAACACAACCTCGCAGCGACACAGCAGGACACCTTGAAGCATGCCACTGCGGTTGATGAGATGGCTTCTGGAATTAACTCCTTACTGGCAGCCCAGCGGCATACGCTGTCAAGGCATCACAGTCTCGAGGTGAACGAGCCGCCCCTTAGATTTATCACCGGCGAGCAAGCGTCCTCGTCGAACTGTTCCTCAGCGCAAGCGTCTCGCAAGATGTTGTATGAGAAAAATGCTGGACAGCCTCCGCGTCATCTGGCGGCGCGAAGGAACACCCTCCCCGTGGAAGAAATAAGCGAGACCCTTGCAATGCCTGCTGCGTCAGGTTTGCGTGACATCATCGCCCACCGGCTGTTGGGCAATGACCACTACAACTCGGACACACAACTGCAGGCTGAGCCTGCCATTATTGTTCCAGTGGACCTGGGAAAAGCCACACTGGAGCGCAGGAAACACACGGTTATGTTGTCAAATTCGAGGGATTCGTTGGACGGTCTTGCCGGAAACCCGACAATGATGTCTCAGCATCGACACCCAAGCCTTATAGAACGAAGAGGATCTGGAACTCTGTTGATGGATCACTTTGCTCACACGCGTCCAGGAATTTTGCCACCAATCAACACGAACAGCAGCATGCACAGTATGTCTGACTTTGCCAGCACAAACAAGACTAACTCTCCCACTGCGATGGTCAAGCCGATGGTGCCCACTGTAGCGAGCTCGCCCAACAGCTGCGATGCAAAACCAAGGAAGAAGATCATCAGGCGTCACTCCATGCAAGTCGAGCAAATGAGGCAGCTTCTAGCTCGGGAAGAAGATTGAGGGATTAGTCGAATGTACGACGCTGTGCCAGTATTTGAGTGCTCTGGAAAACGTGTACGTAGAAAGGCACCTCCGGTTAGCACGGTTGGCCACGTATGGTGCGGAAAAAGTTCAACATACAAATGCATGGTATCAGACTTTTTTGCGAGAAAAGGGAGATTAGCGGGTGGAGTTAAGAAAGGGTGGTACCGTGCCATTGAGAAGAACCCATGAATTCTGGATGTCCTGCCTTAAGAAGTTGAAGAGCACCTAATAGGCAATGGCAGAAATATAATAGGCATTTGTATCTCCTTATTCACCGCTGAGTTGCAGAAATGACACTTGGCTGCAGTTCATAATACTTGCACATTTAAAGCGTAACCAGTATTTAACGTGCAGTATATGCTTATATCAGCTCTCATTTGGCTCTTTGTGGTAAAATGTATGAGTAGATGAAAAAGTGTAACTATTATTGTTGGTTTATCAACACAAGTAAATTAATTTTCAAGTGCACTGGCTTCATAACCATATTTATCACAACACAACTTAGAAATAATTAACAGCACGAACACAACGGCTCAATCTTTAACTAACTATAGAATATGTTGTTTGGTGTTATATTTTGATATTTATTGGGATTAAATTCGATTTACATTTTTTTAAATGAATTGTCTAATTGTAAATTATTATGAAGTATATCTCTATGATTCTTTATTGCACATTGCTTTGCTTACCGTTGCAGAGGTTTCACATATTTTGGTTATGATTTTGACCAGTACATAAAAAAAAATGTATTTGATAAACTTTAATTAGAGTATGCAGTTGCATTTACTGTTTACTAATCAGCCAGTGTCACTGGTTTATACATGTTTTATGTGTGTAGTTATTTTATTGAAACATTATTTATTTTAAAAGACGGCAAAAGTATGGTATTTTGCGATATAGACTAACATTTCTGAACTGCATTTCAGGTATGGCATTTTGCTTTTGTATTGTGATAATGATATTATGTCCATCTGCTAAATTGTGCAATACTCGTAAAATGGTTTTGATGGAGAATTTTAATCGCGACCGTATGTTTATTAATTGCCTTATTTAATATTAAAATCAATGTAAAGAAGTGAAATACTTTGTCAATTGTTTCTTATTATTGTCCTTTAGGAATGTCATAAACATATTTTCTAACTAATATGACCAATATGTTAATATATACGTGAAAGCTCCAAGCACAGAAATCACAAATACACATTGATAAAAAAATCCGAAGACATCTGTGCATACACAATGTTTCTTATTATTATTCATCAATATTTTCTATGCAAATACCGAACAAGCGATTTAAAGTCAATGTGCTTTAATTCAAAACTGATTTACATACTACTAAAAATAGACAACTTGACACGCAAATGTGGAGCTAAGTGGCTTTGGTCTTGATGTACGATTGTGTACATGGGGTTAGTGCTCCCAGTCTCAATCTTATGGTTTTGAAATGAAAAGATGAATTTGTTAAATTAAATTGCAAAAAAACACGTAGAAAAAAAGTAACATTTTTTATATTGTGTGATAGGCTCAAGATTATCGAGATTTAATCAGAAAGTGGGTTTGAAACTGAAACCAAACCTGGTTATAGGAATATTATTACCAGGTCAAATATTAAAATGGTTTGATTTTAATCTGACAACATTTTAAAATTGCAAGTTTTATATGCCACTATCTAGAATCAGAATCATTGTTATTGTGGCCCCACAGAATGGATATAAAGACCAGTGGCTACGTGCAGCTTGTGTTCACAATGGAAAGTGAACGGGCAGCCGTGCAATTGATTGGTCCTCCACAAGAGAGAGAGAGACTGAGCTCTAGAGAGGCCCCTCTAAAGGGTATTTGGCCTACTCTTCAAAACTGGCCAGATGTCTTAGAAGAGGAGGGAACTTTAACTACGCTAAACATAAATGATGGCCGAGGTCTTAAAAAAAACACTCACATTGAACTGAAAGACCCTTGAGGCTGGATATGAATGCATGATAAAACTACATGTTTTAATTTACAACGTTACGTGAAAAGCATGTGTATGACAGTTTTCAGACACCATTCTGGTTCATAAATGAGGCATAACATATATTGTTTTAAATGTATCAGTGTGCAGGCAGTGCACATGGCTGAAATGTATTTGACTGATAATGCCATGGCACATAATTTGCGGTGTGCTGCTTTTCCATTAACTCCACTCCCTGTTTATAAACCTGTTCAGCAATATGTGTATCAAGTTATTTATTTTTACTTAGTTTGATGCATTGTTTCGTTTATTGATCACGTCCTGCTTTATCATGGCACAAGTCTTATCACAGAATTGGTTAGGTGTGGGCCTAATTAAGAGCGTTTTAAATCAGTGGATATCTGGCATGACAAAAACAAATTGAACAAAATCTCGACAGTATGCCCGCTGAACATTCCACTTAAATACAGAAAGAGGAACACAAGTAGATCAAAGAACAGTTGCAAATTGGAGAAAATGTATTGACTATTAAGAAGGGTAATTGGAATGTTGGCCGATAGACGGTCACTGATGAAGGAATGGCAGCCAACGGCACTTGCCCAAGACAATAACTACCGCAGCGGTGGAGCGATTGGATTAGCGCATGTGCATAAGTGAGATGGATTGTGGGATTGTGGCATTTACCCACCCGTAGATTTATCGTGGCTGATGATGATGGGAGGGAGGGAGAACTAAAGCATCAATGTGGGGGCCTTCTACAAACCCACAACCTCAAAGCCATCTTGTAAAGCCACTGATACAATTTAAGTGTCGCGTGAAACACGCAGGCAAGGTCGTTTTCCAGTTCGCCTTTAACGCGGCCAAACAAAACGTGCGCACAAGTAACAGGCGAAGTAGAAAAAAAAAAAACGTAAGCGCCGACATGGCACCTGTGAAAAAAAGAGCTTAATAGCTCATCGGATTCCTCCAGCATGAGTACGCCGAGAGAGGCGACACCTGCACGACTCGGTCGGTGGTGGTGCCAACTCGTTGCAGCTGCCACGTGACATCACACACCCACTAGGTAGGCGGGCAGCAGTGATGGGGGGGGGCTACAAATAAAATAAATAAATAATCACCGCGCGGGGGGGGGGGGGGGTGGAAATAATTAAATAATTCTGCCGCGCGCCTTTTTTTACATTAAAAATAAAAGCGGTGAATTGTGGCTGATGCTGACGGCTGTACTGCAGCTTTAATTACAATACATCACTAAATCGTAAAATTGCATTAATTATAAAATATTCAATTGTGCATCATTTATGACAATGTGCAAACTTCATACTTAACGCAGCAAAATCTGAATTTACGTGTTCATTTCCACTCTCGTGCTGTGCGAAATTAAGATATCAATTTGCATATAGCTTCTTTATAGAATTTTGCATGTCTTATATTAAACGATAATTGGCTTCAAATGCACACATGTTGGTACAATTAAAATACTTAAATTAATTGTCACCACTATCATGGAAATTGGTGACAAATTTGTACAGCGCAACAACACCCGGCATGCTTGTGCAGTTGTGCGCTGGAGAAAAGTGAAGTGGAAAACGAGTGGCGAAATCTAGTCAGCTCGTATGCTAATGAGTTCATTGTGACGTCACTGTGGTGGGTCTCTGCATATTCCCGAGAAGTGGAAAAGCGGCTTCTTTGTGCGCGGCTTGAGGCGCGATAATAGTGACACTTTTGAGCGAACTAAGTGTATCGCTCGAAAATTGAAGTGAGAAATGGTCTGCAGTCTGCAAAAGCCATAACATTTGGGCCCAAAGTTGGTCGCAATAAAAAAAAAGTATGTTTTTTTCAAACGTTGGGCAAGCATCTGAAACAAGTTTACTTTTCTAACTCTATAGATGTGTTTTGCGATGAACAGATAAATGATTAATTCCAAAAGATTTCGCTATTTTTATGTTCAATATGTAGTTTCAAGCCAGTGATCTAAAGTGCCATTTATTGTATTGACATTTCTGGAGATACTTCAAAGGAACTTGCACTTAAATCTAACATGTTATGAAAATTTTAAATGGAATATTCTATTACAGCCTAGGTGATGTATCTGTTAAAATGTATCTGAGGCTCTTTCTTTACCCAGTAGAAATTGTATCTGTTGGGAATATAAGGTAGACATTTAGATAACTTTGTTTTTCTGCTTGAGAGCTGTAACGTTTATCAAATATTTAGTAACTTTCTCATAAATAGTGCAGACTCCAACGCTGATCTAGAATGCATCAATGCACGTGTCAAGACAATTTTGTGCACATTGCAATGACTGACAGTAAAACAAAAGTAAATTGATAAGCAAATACCTGTCCTGTATAAGGATAACTAGGCAATCATCCAGAGAAAGAAAAAAACTAAATGAAATGAAGGGACTGTGCATACCGCCAGTGTAACAAACCAATTAGGCTAATAGCCACACAACTTACTGTAAGTTCAAAGCTTCACAGACTCATGTGTCGATTTGATTTGCCATCTTCATAAATGACAAGGTTGTGGATATTTCCTTGTTTAGATTTTATACAAATCCCTGAAGGGATTTTCAATGTCATAGAAAGCAAACAATATTACAAGGTTAAATCAGCTATCGTAATAACACACTACTATACTTTCACATATCATTGATTATATTGCAGGAAATATGCAGTTGGAGGTTTTCTCTGTTACATTTGTCCAGTGGTCATATTATGAACCAACATTTTCAAATTACATTTCTAGAATAAAATCCACAACCAAATACAGCCTATTCTATGCCAAAGGGATTATATAACTTGCTTGGTGAATTTAGGAAATACTGTACAGTAATAATAATTGAAGGTTACAAACTCAATTCCACATTGGTGATATCTGCAGAGAATACAGTTAATCTAGTTTATATTTTAATCCCTGGGAGTTCTTTAAAGTGTTTGCATGACTGGATTACCTTACGAACCATATATAACAATTGAAGTGCATGATGCTCTTTGAGACGTATTCCCTAGCGTAATCAATATTTTACAAGAGTAGAACCCTTTGTTAACCCACTATGTGGATGAAGGCTTACCCACACCAAACCATAAGCATACTTTAGTGAATTGATGAATGCGTTAATTCTAGATTTGAAGCTTTCGTGACTGCAAGGATTCATATTCTTAGGTTTTTTCGGTAAAGTCACGTAGGTAAAAAAAAATTTAATTAATAAAAGTAAAATTAAAATAAAAATCACGACGTTTCGGAGGCAACACAAGCTTCCGTCTTCAGGCTGTGACGGTTCCACCTGAAGACGGAAGCTTGTGTTGCCTCCGAAACGTGGTGATTTTTAATTTATTTTACTTTTATAAGAAAAAATTACCTTCGTGACTTTACCGAAATAACCTAAGAATATGGTGAATGCGTATTGGATTTAGATATAATTTGCCACGACTGTACAGTACTTTACTGTTACCCATGGCTGGGGTACACCATTGCCCTGGCAAATTAATATCACGTGATGCAAACGCCTGCCTACCTATTTGTAAAAGTTGGTGGCAGTGAGCGTTTCTTGTTTATGACAGTAGCATATTGAGAACTGCTAAGGCTATATCATTCATGTGTGCAGAGGAAGTTGACAATCTTGTAATTACATGTACCATAAAAAGTAGAGCAGAGAAAGAATTTTTTTTGCGATGCAACTTAATATAAAGTATTCGGAACTAGAATATATTTTTTTATTGTATATAAATCACCACACTCTCTTGTACAACTTTGTACAAAATAATCACCAATCACTGAAAAAGAAAAGGTGAATAATAACGGCCAGGCAAACAAAGTTCCTACCATATTGTAAATATCAGTAAACTTAGGGAGACCGTACACATGACTCATATGTCCATATTCTTTGGGTCTTTCAGTAAGGTCACGTAGATAGGTTCAAAAATAAATAACAAAAAACTTTCTTTGAACCTATCTACGTGACTTTACCGAAAGACCCAAATAATATGAATTCCTGCAGTCACGAAAGCTTTAAGTCATCATATGTCCATGCTAATCATTTTTGTAAAGCATTTAATCGCAAAACAAGCATGATAAATGTTTAAAAACACCACCACATTTATCATTAGCAT